TTTATTGTTCAGCCTCTGTTTCCTACAAATATTTCAAGTACAACTAATCTATAATTTCTAATGTTTCCCACTGACCCTACCAACAGGTAGCCTAGTGACACACATTCACACATTTTGCAGGTTACAGCATGGGCCATGAGCCATGGCAAATCCGGCTAACACGCCAAGTGAGAGGCAGAACCAGAAGCACCAAAAATTTGCCCAACCACCTATTACTGGAAAGAATTAATTTCATTACTTGATCCAAGATTATTTAATTTATCAGGGAATTCTCTTCACACTGTCCCTGGAAAGAAAGTTTCATTAACATTATATGTAGACAGGGCCTAGAAAGAAAGATGGATTATTGCTGGTTGTCTTTCAGATTTAACTATGTGTCAGAGTAAGGACTCTATTCACCACATGATCTTTACCCACAGTAAAACAAGACCAGAGAACAATCAAGAAGTACAAAGTTGAGGCCAACTAAATCCATCCCAACTTATTTAAATAAACTATTAATAATAGTACTTAGCAAAAAAAAGGAAGGGAGAGGAATTGTGATGAAAAAGTGAGACAAGAGGCATAAATTGGACTGTCCCAGGATAATAGGAATGTATAGTGGACCTATTTAAATAGTAAATTAAAATGAATTCCCTTACAATAAGGCAATTAACTAATATATCTACACACATTGCAGGAGCCTACGAAGCAAGCACACTGGAACCACAAAGTAAAATCTTTTCTATGTAATGGTTCTCCAGCCTCTTCTACTGACAAAGTTTAACATTATGACAGCTGGCAAAGAAAAATACATAAAGGGCCTGGGTACATTTTTACAGAGCAGTCAAAAGGATGAATTTGGAGTTTTAGCATCAATAAACTGATATTGATATTGACAGGCAATGAATTGATGAATTGATTCTGAAAGAATTTGCATTAAGTGCACAATCCGACACAAACTCCTTCATAAAAGAAAAGGAACACATCCAAATTAATTTCGTAAAGCCACTATTATCTGTCACTAAAGACAGACAAAAAAACATTCCAAGAAAACTATAAAGCAATACTCTCACAAAAACAAAAATTATTAACAAAATTTTGGGAAATTTAATCCAGCAATATATTAAAAAAAAGATAAAAATCCAGTCAGGAGAGTTTATCCCAGAATTGCAAGGTAGGTTAAATATCTGAGAATCCAAAAAAAAAAAAAAAGAAGCAATATATAATCTTCATAGAATAAATTTTAAAAACAGTATGATCATCTCAATAGATGCAGGTAAAAGCACTTGATAAAATTCAACCCCAATTCATGATAAACAATTCTCAGCAAACTAAGAAGAGAAGGGAACATCCTCAAACTGATGACGGGTATCTGGAAAAAACCTACAGTTATCATATTCAATTGTGAAAGGCTGAATGCTTTCCATCTAAAAATCAGGAAAAATCAATCAATAACTCTTTACAATTTCTATTCAGCATTGTACTGGAGAGGTCCCACCCAGTGCAATAAGATAATCAAAAGTAATAAAAAGTTTACAGATTGGGAAGAAAAAGTAAAACTATCCGTATTCATAGATAACATGATCATGTGTGTAAAAAATCCTAAGGAATCTGCATTTTAAAAAAAGCTTCTGTATTAGTTTCTGTTGCTTATAACAAAATACCTGGAGAACTGGGTGATTTATAAAGAAAATGAAATTTATTGCTTACAGTCCTGAGGCTGGGAAGTGCAAAGTCCAGGAAGCGTATTTGGTGAAGGCCATGATGGTGGCGACAGTGTTGGCAGGGTATTACATTGCGAGATGGTGTAGCAAAGAGAGCAGAGAGAGACCAACCTCCTCATTCACTCTATTCACTCTCCTTTTAAAGCCCTCAGAACCATGCCCCGACCACCATTATTAATCCATTCACTACTGCTCAGTCCTACAATCTAATCACCTCTTCAAGGCCCCATCTTTCAATTACCATAATAGGATTTCCCACCCTCAACAGTTACAGTAGGGATTAAGCCTCAGTGAGGTTGGGCAGGCATCTATAACAGCACGTCTATAACTAATACGTTAATCTGGCAAACTTGCAGGATAGAAGATCCGAATAAAGAGATACATTGTATCCAGTCATCAGAACATTCAATGTTGTTAAAATGTCAGTTTTCTCCAAATCTATAAAATCAACCAAATCCATATTAAAATCACAGTAAGTCTTTTAAAAAAAATAGGCAAATTGATTCTAAAATTTATATGGAAAGGCAAATTATCTAGAATAGCCAAAACAACTTTATATACATTTAAAAGGGGGGATTTTATTGTATGTAAATTATACCTAAATAAAGTGGAAATATGAAAGAAAGGAAGGGAGGGAGGAAAGCATGGCCTGAGTCTGGACATAATGAAACATCAAACAGACCAGAATGAAGTTCAAACCACTTAATGAAAGACCTATAGTCTTTAAGACTTTCAAGGACATAAGAAACAGGGAAAGAATGGAGTATTCAGTTTAAAGCAGACTTTAACCTGACCTTAATATCACTTTAATATGACAACTAAATGCAACATATGTTGCTGGATAGAATTCTGGGTCAAAAGGAAAAGGACAAAATATTGAGACAATTGGTGACATATGAATGGGCCACTAGTTCATAATTAGATGATAGTATTGCACTAATATTCCTGACTGGGAGGAGTGTATGATGCCTATGTCGGAGACTGTCTCACTTTGGTAAAACACACTGCAATAGTTAGCAGTAATGGGACCCCAAGTCTGAAAAAGTCCATACTAATATGTAGAGGGAAAGAGACTGAAGGTACACACGTGGTAAAAAATGTTACACAGACCAGAATGAAGTTCAAACCACTTAATGAAAGACCTATAGTCTTTAAGACTTTCAAGGACATAAGAAACAGGGAAAGAATGGAGAAGTATTCAGTTTAAAGCAAACTTTAATCTGACCTTAATATCACTTTAGTATGACAACTAAATGCAACATATGTTCCTGGATAGAATTCTGGGTCAAAAAGAAAAAGGAGTAAATATTGAGACAATTGGTGACATACGAATAGGCCACCAATTCATAATGAGATGGTAGTATCACACTGATATTCCTGACTGGGAGGAGTGTATGATGGTTATGTAGGAGAATGTCTCACTATGGGAAGCACACTGCAATAGTTAGCAGTAATGGGACACCAAGTCTGAAAAAGTCTATACTAGTATGTAGACAGAAAGAGAGACTGAAGGAACACATGTGGTAAATGTTACTGGGTGACAGGAATGCAGAAGTTCTTGGTTTCGCCTTTGCATCCTATCTGCATTTTTAAAATCATTTCAAAATTGTTTAAAATGTAGCTAAAAATAATAAATAGATCAATTAATAAATTTTAAAATTAAGATATATATCATTTATATGAATGCAAGGCTCCGTTCTATACCAGAACTGAGCTAATAACCTAGATGAATTCAGTTAAGTGATGGAGCTAAAACCATTCACTGTCAACTGCTTGTTCAAATACCTTCAATGGCTACTCATTACCCACCTAATAAGGTGATTAAATTAAATGAGATAATGCTTGTAAAGCACCTTATTCATGATTCAGCACAGTGGGAAGTAAATACCTTTTAGTATCCTTTCAAAATTCTGTCTGGTGTTTAAAGGCCTTCACAGTCTGGCCACAATCTGTCTTTTTTTTTTCTTTTTTAATTCATTTATGCATTCAATACATGTTTATTGAATGTCTTCTCTGCTTCAATCCCTATATTAGGTCCTGGGAAGATGCAATGAATCATATAAAAATAATTTCCCCCTTACGGTGCTTAGATGAAAATATTATCCAGCCAAACTTGTCATTCACCATTCTGAAACAACCCTTTCTGAAACAAAGCACTCATTCATTCATTCGTTTCCTTATTCAATAAATACTCCTAATACTCCTTAATTATATCCCTGACTGTCAGAACTGTACCTAAATACTAATGCATGGTTCAAATGCCTCTTCCTCCAAGAAACTTCTTTGATGATCTCAGGACAAACTGATGTGTCCTTCTCATGTGGTTCTTACCACATACAGACTTTTTATTGCACTTATTTAGACATGACATTTCAGTGCAAAATGAGATCAGATTTGGCAAATTCCAATGTCATCGGTGTAAAGAGGCTAATAAAAAACCTAGATATAATGGGGGTGGTGGGAGTTGTGATCAAGTAGAGAATGTATGCCCCATCTAAAGGTGGTCAAATTCACATTCTTCTGCAAACTTTGTAGGCAAAAATAAACACCCTGGAGTTTCAGTTCTCTAATATAGATTACTTGAAGTCCCACCCCACACCCTCAATTCAGATGAGGAAACAAGATCCAGTAGAAAGTGGCTTAGCCAGAGTATCTCAAAACTGTGGACAAAGTAGGAACAATCTGGTAATCACAGACAGTTTTCAACCTTATTTTAAGCTCCAAGTGATTCAACGCCGAACTTCTCAGAGTTGGTGACCGAATAAGGTTCAATGACTCAACAACACCGACTCTCCAGCCGGCTATCTGAAGGCCAGGCCCCTGTCACCCACACTGTGTAGAATGGACTGTGTCAATCAGGTGCTGCAGGTGAGCAATGAGAGGAGTCCGAGCCTCCCAGTAACTTGCTTTGATTCTGGTCATGCGTTGCAAGTGGCTTAGCCAGAGTATCTCAAAACTGTGGACAAAGTAGGAACAATCTGGTAATCAGAGACAGTTTTCAACCTTATTTTAAGCTCCAAGTGATTCAACGCCGAACTTCTCAGAGTGACCGAATAAGATTCAATGACTCGACAACACCGTCTCTCCAGCCGGGTATCTGAAGGCCAGGCCCCTGTCACCCACACTGTGTAGAATGGACTATGTCAATCAGGTGCTGCAGGTGAGCAATGACAGGAGCCTGTCATTGCAGCGCGTCCTCCACACACCACACCTCCCTGTGCCGCCTCACCACGCGGGCAACCCGGGGCGGCCGCGCCGCTGCCCTCCCAGGACGAGCCCGCCCCTCAGGCTCACCTTGACATATGGTCAAGGTTCAGCAGACAAAGAAGCAGCAGCGAACGTTGTTAAAACGCTGGCAGCAGGGGATGACTATGCAGCCCAAGCCACGAGGCCCCTCCAAACTGTCGTTCAGTTGTGGTTCTGGCGGCTTCTGGAAAATGGGGGACTTGGCCCTTTTCTTCTTTTGGAATCTGCGGAACCTTATCAGGGCCGCTGGCAACGTTGTCAGATACGCGGGTCTTCCCCCGGCCTCCCCGGTCTCAGTGCCCTCGGCAGGCCGGGCCTGCGCTGCCCCAGGCTGCTCTTGCACTCGGGCTTCCTTCATGGCCTCGCCAGGCCCTGCCGCGGCTCGGGCGCGGCTCACCCTGCGCTGCTCCGGGCGTCGCTACTGGTGCTTTCCCAGGACGCGGGCGGCCGACCCTTCCTGAGTCAACCCCAAAGCCCGCCGGGCGAGAGCGTCCGAGGACTGGGGAGCCGAAAGGGCGCCTGCAGCCAAGCCTCGAGAGGGAACGTTCCTCCTCCGCGGGAGGCCAACGTCCCCGCACGGGGGTTGACAGTTGCCCTGGGAGAACGTCCAAGGCTGTTTTCCTTCTTTGCTTCCACGTCGGGAAGGAAAATGAAAAAAGCTAGAGTAATGGAAGTCAAAGAATGCTAGTACTTATTTAATACTTACTCATTAGGAAGCAAGGAAAGAGAAATATGCAAAAATGGGATAGTGGAACTGTCCCCCAATTTCCTCAGACTACTTTATTGTGGTGTCTTTTCCAACTGGACAATCTCACTAGAAACAGCCTGAAAAATTGTTGAAGGACCAGGAGAGACCAGAAGACATGGAAAAGACACTTCCACCACAATGATAGATTTGGAAGAACAGATATCAGAAAATATTGACCCAAAGATTTCCCTTAAGTGGTTTACACATAGAAATTATTGTCTTAGAAACTCTATCCCTGCCCAAGAACAGAAAGAATTATTATTTTCTTCACTAAATGAGGTCATGAGACCCAGAGGATGATTATTTCCCCAGGTATAAAAACCTAAACTGGAGAGAAAGAATGTAAGAGAACAGTAACAGGATACAAAACGCATGTTTTATATGAAAATGGTACTTCTTACTGGTTTTCTTTTATTTTGTCAATATACAATGTGGTTGATTATTGTGGCCCATTACCGAAACCTCCCTTCCTCCTTCCTCTCCCCGCTCCCTCCCAACAACCTCATATCTGTTCACTTGTATCAACTTCAAGGAATTGTAATTGTTGTTTCTTCTCCCCCCCCCAGTTTATTTATGTATGTATTTATTTATTTTTAGCTCCCACAAATAAGTGAGAACATGTGACATTTCTCTTTCTGTGCCTGACTCGTTCACTTAATATAATTTTCACGAGGTCCATCCATGTTGTTGCAAATGGCAGTATTTCATTCTTTTTTTTATAGCAGAGTAGTATTCCAATGTGTAGATATACCACAGTTTCCATATCCACTCATCTGATGATGGACATTTGGGCTGGTTCCAACACTTAGCTATTGTAAAGAGTGCTGCAATGAACACTGGAAAACAGGTATACCTTCGACTTGATGATTTCCATTCCTCTGGGTATATTCCCAGCTAGGTCATATGGTAGATCTATCTGCAATCGTTTGAGGAACCTCCATACCATTTTGCATAGAGGATGCACCATTTTGCAGTCCCACCAACAGTGTATGAGAGTTGCTTTTTCTCCACAACCTCACCAGCATTTATCATTCACAGTCTTTTGGATATTAGCAATCCTAACTGAGATGGTATCTCAGTGTAGTTTTGATTTGCATTTCCCAAATGCTGAGTGACGTTAAGCATTTTTTCATGTGTCTGTTGGCCATTTGTATATCTTCTTTTGAGAAATGCCTATTTAGCTCCTTTGCCCTTTTTTAATTGGGTTACTTTTTTTTGTTGTAAAGTTGTTTAAGTTCCCTGTATATTCTGAATATTAGTCTTTTGTCAGATGTATATGTTGAAAATATTTTCTCCCACTCTGTTGGTTGTCTTTTCACTCAGTTAATTATTTCTTTTGCTGTGCAGAAGCTTTTTGGTTTTATATAATCTCATTTGTTTATTTTTCCTTTAGTCACTTGTGCTTTTGGGGTCATATTCATGAGGTCTGTGCCCAGTCCCACTCCCTGGAGTGTTTCTCCTGTGTTTTCTTTAAGAAATTTTATTGTTTCAGGGTGTCCTGGCCCTTTTTAATTCTTTAATCCATTTTGAGTTGATTTTGGTATATGGCAGGAGGTATGGGTCTAGTTTCATTCTCCTGCATCTTGATATCCAGTTATCCCAGCACCATTTGCTGAAGAGGCAGTCTCTTCACCAGTCTATAGGCTTGGTTCCTTTGTCAAAGATCAGATGACTGTAGGTGTGCAGGTTGATTTCTGGATTCTCTATTCTATTCCATTGATCCATGTGTCTATTTTTATGCCAGTACCATGCTGTTTTGGTTATTATAGCTTTCTAGTATGTTTAAAGTCAGGTAGTGTTATGCCTCCAGCTTTATTTTTTATGCTCAGAATTGTTTTGGCTATTTGTGGCCTTTTGTTATTCCATATAAATGTCTGGATAGTTCTTTCCACTTCTGAGGAAAATGTCATTGGAATTTTGATGGGGATTGCATTGAATTTGTATATCACTTTGGGCAGTATGTACATTTTCACAATGTTGATTCTTCCAATCCAAGAGCACGGAGTAGCTATTCTTATATCTGATAAAATAGACTCTAAACTAAAAACCATAAAAAGAGATAAAGAGGGCCACTACAGAATGGTAAAAGGATTCGAAAATGTCATTGGAATTTTGATGGGGATTGCATTGAATTTGTATATCACTTTGGGCAGTATGTACATTTTCACAATGTTGATTCTTCCAATCCAAGAGCACGGGCTATCTTTCCATCTTCTTGTGTCTTCTTTAATTTCTCTCAACAGTGGTTTGAAGTTCTCATTGGAGAGATTTTTCACATCCTTGGTTATTGATTAACTCTATTCCTAAGTATTTTATTTTTTTGGTGGCTATTTTAAATGGCCTAGTTTTCTTGATTTCTCTTTCTGCATGTTCACTATTGGAGTATAGAAATGCTACTGATTTTTGTGTGTTGATTTTGCATCCTGCAACTTGGAAAGAAGGAGATAGACACTAATACCATAATAGCAGGGGACCTGCACACCCCACTATCAATAATTGGACGGATCGTCTAGTCAAAGAATTAGCAGAGAAACACAAGATCTAAACAACACTCTAGACCAATGAGTTTTTTTGTAGAGGCTTTGGGCTGTTCGATATATAGGATCATGTCATCTGCAAACAGACATAGTTTGACTTCATCTTTTCCAATCTGGATGCCCTTTATATCCTTCTCTTCTCTGATTGCTCTGGCTAGTACTTCCAACACTATGGTGAATAGGAGTGGTGAGAGTGGGCATCCTTGTCTAGTTCCTGTTCTTAATGGAAAAGCTTTCAGCTTTTCCCCATTCAGGATGATATTGGCAGTGGGTTTATCATATATGGCTTTAATTATGTTGAGATACTTCCCGTCTATACCTAGCTTGTAGCGAGTCTTTATCATGAACGGGTGTTGAATTTTGTCAAATGCTTTTACAGCATCTATAGAGATGATCATATAGTCCTTGTGTTTGATTTTATTGACATGGTGTATCACATTTATTGATTTGCATATGTTGAACAAACCTTGCATCCCTCGGATAAATCCCACTTGATCATGGTGTACAATTTTGTGTATGTGTTGCTGTATTCTGTTAACTAGTATTTTATTGAGGAATTTTGCATCGATATTCATCAAGGATATTGGCCTGTAGTATTCTTTTTT